CCCAATCGGGCCAAGCGCCGCACCAACGATAGTTTCACGTGACCACCACCGCGCCGAAAAGTTTCTTCCTTTTCTTCCGTCGAGTTCGTGCCTTTCTTCCATCCCGAACCTCCATATCACCCACTATCCTTCATCCCCTCCTCCACTAACCTCCCTACCCCGTCAATTGGACTGCTTCTACTCGGAATCCGGTCCATTGACGTCGGAGATCCCTTTCCACCTACCCACTCACCCCCTGTCCGCCTAAGCAACATGGCGCCCCGAATACAGAACTCTGTCGTCTCCAACTCTCTCCTTCCTTACCTTTCCACATCTTCTACCTCATCCTCTTCTACATGTCTTCCCAGGCTAGCTACCACATGCCCTTCATCACATGAGTCATGGCGTTCGTGTCGGTCATTTTCGTCCACGCCCGCCCCCCAAACCAGACGTCGCCGCGAGATGTTCGCGTGGCTCAATACCGAGGCAGCCATGTTGAAATCCCACACTCCAGGCACAACAAACTACCTCATGCGGACCAATCCCAAACTCAAGGAGTTGTCGATTGCTGAAACCAGAATTTTTCCGGCAAACCCTGCCTACCGCTCCGAGAGCATTCTCAGTGAGGAGCTGCGGACAGAGATCTACAACCGGGTAGTAAAACAGAAGAAGAGTGTGCGTGCGGTTAGTGTCGAGCTGAAGGTTGACATGAGGAGAGTCGCTGCCGTAGTCCGGCTGGTCGAGTTAGAAAAGCGGATGGAAAAACAGGTATGCTTACAGATCCTTTCAACCCATTACCAATATGGTTTCCCTCCTACCCTTCTGGCCTTTCAAAGCGGACATACCTACGGTGCAATGATGAGAAAAATTATAAATTCGATTAGTCTTTATGACCCAGTTGACTGGGAATGGTTACAACGCCTATTTTCCTGATATACACCGATCCTTTCTGTTTATTACCATCACAAGCTCTGATCATGCTGCCTGTACTTCGGTCAATCGCAACTAACAGTCTTGTCTCAGGGTAAATCCTTGGCTTTGCCTTACGCTCGTGCAATCCATGAAATGGTACCCGTAACGCCTCTAGACCATCCCCATGAAGAAATTAACGACCTCCCCGTCCACCGCCTCACCAACCCTCAAATCTTCTATCCCGTCTCTGAGTCCCGCCAATTCAACCGTGTTGATGCTGGCCGTGTCTTCTCCGCTGCTCCGGCTTTAGAACATGAGCAGGTTGCTAAGGATGCTGCCAATCCCTCCGAGGCCATTAGCCGGGTTACACAGAACCCATCGCACATTGAGCTTGTCGGCAAAGGCGATGAAGAGCATCAGGTCCTCCAGCCGGCGGACGTGCGTATTCCGCACCCCCACATGGTCACAAGTACCCGTGACATCAAAAGGGTGCCGAATGAGGGTGCCAAACACGCTGAGCTCTACCAGGCTCGCCTCAACCAGCAAGATGCTGCTGATCAGGAGCGCAAGCGTCTCGCCCAGGAGCGTAAGGAGAAGCAAACGCAGCGTGTGCAGCCCGAGGATTCTCGCTTCGAGTTCCGTATCAACGACGTTGTCGTCAGCCAGGAAACCACCGGCAAGGATGGCCGCAACGCTCGGGCTCCTGGTCGCAGATACGGTGTTCCCAGCTACGACCGGAAGAAGGGTCAAGTCAAGATCCCCACCCGTGTGGAGGTTTAAAGATGGCAATCTTGACCTCTTCCGTCTTCGTCAAATCATGTTTTATTTTTACCAAATGACATGAGAAATCCTTGTATAGCCCGTCCGTCTCGCAGTGCGGCATGGTCGGTGGATGTATTTGTATGCCCTCTTGGTTGCCTTGTTTTTCAGCTGTACGATACAGTCTTTTCGACTTGTTTGATCGATGGATATTCTTTTTCGAGGAGCTTGTTTGGTTACTACCCCACCCATTATTTTTTTCATTTCCTTCTTTGAAGCCACGAATATGTATCTATAGCCTTTCACTATTATTTATCACCTACCTACCTCTTCGAACCTGATACTTCAATACTACATACATAAAGACTTTAACTACTATATCTCTCTACTGTCTGTCAGTTTCACACTATACTTAATAGACCGTCTGAGTAAAATCAACAGAAAAAGAGAATAAATAAGGTACATGTGTGTAATATATAATTCAAAGAGGGCAAAACCACCCATCCAATCGAGACAATGATCTATGTACATCAAGAGTAACTCTACGAAGCAGACATAAGACACAAGAGACAGAAGGCCAAGCCTTCCAAAAGTGACATACATGTAGATGCTCAATAATGATAAAGAATGAAAACCAAAAAAAAAAAAAAAAAAAAAGACATCTCGATTCGTATGCGTGAGTATGCCACCCTCTTCCTTCCCTTGCCCTTTTCCCAAGGCAACCAACGATGGAATAACACGTATTAGAGACGCCTGAGAACATCACCAACCAAACAAACAAAGGGAATGAAGTATATGACCACCGCGGACGGGACCTGCGGATGCCAGGAAGGCCATAAAGTATAATAAGAAGAAACTAAGATCGACGATTGGCTATGCTGGGTATCCATTGGAAGACGCAAAATAGCGGGAGATGCGGTTTTGGAGATGAGATGAAAAGACAGGGGGCGAGAGGAGGAATAACAGATCAAACATGCATGTGATATGCTCAATCACACGCATGCAAGAGTCTGACAATTGGTTATTGTGAGTTTATCCACATTAGGAAGTAACTTGTATAGCACGGGGATCAATCAGAGTGCATCAGGATCTGCGGGCCCATCTGGAACAGGGACTGATGTCACCGGACTGGCAGGTGAGTCCAAGCCCTCGCCGCTACCACTGCCGGAAGAGTCTTCGGGTGTAACGTCGATGGGTTTAGGGAAGCTGGGGGTTTTGCGGTCCTTTTTGGTGGCTCCTTGACTCAAGGTAGAGGATGGTGAGAGCGGAATAACAGGAGACTGTTTCCGCGAAGTTCCGTCCCCGCCAGTTTGCATGGGACTCGTATGACCATCAGACGTGGGCGAAGGCTGAGTGTCATCGGCGTAACCGCGCCATTTGCGCCAGCCTTCAAAATCGATCAAGGCTTGCATGCAGCCCCATTCTGTCACTTTCTGCTCCAGCCATTCAAAGCGAACCGGCTTCGCGATTTGTTAGCATGCTATGATAGAAGACCCGGTAATGAACGATAGTCCTAGAGAATATATGCATACCTTGGTCAAAAAGTCGTTGCAGCCAGCTGCCAGAGCCTCGTGACGATCGCTCTGCAGACTGCTCGCGGTCAGGGCTACAATAATAACGGGACTTTTGAACAGAGACAGATCGTGTAATGTATCCTCTGCCCTCAGAGGTTCCCGACTGCCCACAATTGCCGAGGGCGATGCCGCATTGGCAGTTGCAGCGCTCGACCGCCCGTCAGCGGTCTTGGGAAACACACCGACGCCGTTCAGGCGTTCGAGCCTGCGGATCTCTTTCGTCGCATCCAGACCGTTCATGACGGGCAACTGGATATCCATCAAGACGAGATGGAAACCACCCTGGCGCCATTTGTTCACCGCCTCTTCACCATTGGCCGCACACTTCCAGCGAACGCTGAGACGTTTCATAAAAGCTTCCAAGAGACGTTGGTTGATGTTATTGTCCTCCACGATCAAAACGTTGATGGGCGGTACCGTGCCCTCGATGAGGCCTCCAAAGACCCCGCTCAATGATTGTGCTGCGCTGGTCTTCTTCGGCTTCGCGGAGGATGTGGAGGGACGTGGACGCGGTGATGCCCCGCGTGCTGGAGGAGTCAGGGATTTGGCCTGAGGGGATTCTGGCGGCGGGCCTGGCGGAGTAGGGATGGACGGAGCAGGCTGCGGAGGGATACTACTGGGGACGATTCCGGGGTCTCCTCAAAGTTAGCAAGCTTCTTAGCAAAGGAATCTTACGTCTTGCAGCTCATTAAGATGAGAGTTGACCAACCTTTCGCTGTTGGCGCCTGATTGAGGATGGTGGGTGAGTTTGTGGCATGACGAGTCAAGGGCGGCCGACGGGGATGTCGAGTCCCGCGACTCCCTGGAGATGGTAGCGGAGGGGCCATTCCTGTCGTCAGGATCGATATTGATGGGGCGGGATGAGCATTAACACTGGCAGACGAGTTTGACGGATGCGTCGGCGGCGTGGGAACGCTGGGATTCGCCGGCATGAGCGGGAAGTACTCGCCATGCTCGCCCGGTTCGGAATGATGGTGGTTGTAGTATACTGAATGGCGTGGAGAGGGTTTGGGAGTGCGACGCGAAGGAATATCGATTATTAGAGCCTCCTCGATAGCTTGACCTCCCGGGTAGTATGTGTCCACCACGCTTGCCAGCGGCTCTTCGGGGCTAAGCATCCGATCGGGAGTGGCCTGCCTGTTCGAACCATCTCGCGGAGTAATGCGAATGACAATATCGGGGGCATCGAAGGTTCTGCCAAGCGAGTTCGAGTACTTCAAAATCACCTGGTCCCGTAGCTCGTCCACCAAAGAATCGAGCGAGATGGGGACCAAGGTGGCCGACCCGCCTGGCCGCTTGACCCAGATCTTGCGAGACATGCCTGTGCTGTAGGTGGCGGAGCGACCGTTACCGTTGGTTTCAGGCTCTGCGGGCACACCGGGGTCCAACAAGCTGTTGATCAGGTGTTGATGAGACGGGGCCAGCAGCGACTGACGACGGGAGCCTAAACTGGGACGCTTTGGGAAGGAAGCAGCGGGGGTATGGTTGGAGGAGGACTGAAATTCTGGTTCGACCGTCGGATTCTCCGCAACAACATCCAACACGGGCAACTGCGGCTCCCCGACCGTAGGCCCCAGGCGATCAAGGCCTTGAGTGTGGCCAAATTGGAAAGACGGCGAGACAACACCACGATCAGAGACAGGGGGAGGAGGGGTCGGAGAAGGCGAAGGGAGCAGATCTGGCGATAGAGTTGTCGGGGGTGGGGAAAGGACGTGCTCGGAAAAGGGACCGTGACTGTGACGCCTGCAGGGCGCGGGGCGAACACGATCGCAAGAAGTTGTCGCGTCCAATTGCTGATGCTGACGCTGGCGGGAAGCACTGGGACCAGTACCGGCACCGGCACCTGGAGGAACGAGGAGCGAGTGCCGTTGTCCCTCACGTTGTTCCGCGACCGGTTCGGGGCGAGAGGAGGATTTCGATTTGAAGTTGCAGTTCTCCAACTTCTCGAACTTCTCTTCCTCCTCCAATGATCCCCTCGACCGCCCGCCTTTCGGGCCAATCACCGATGTCCGCGTCCCTTCAGCTGCACTCGCCCGATCGTCCTCTTCCTGCCTCTCCTCCTCCTTCCTCAGCTTCAAGGCTTGGGGCACAGCCTGCAATGATATCGCGCGCCGATTGGAACTGATGGGTCGCGCTGGGGGAAAATTCGCGATCGACTCGTCCAATTGTTCGGGGGCGCAGCTTTGCTGGGCGTGGACATCATGGGGATTGTTCTCGGCAATAATGTCGCTGGTGGCGGCGGGAGCGGACGAGGTCGACGACGATCGTCGCAATAACAGCTTTGCCTTGAGCTTGGCCCAGCGACGGTCTGGCATCGTGCAACTGCATCAATTTGTCCCTTGAATCCCCGGGTGACAAGTCAATGGTCCTTGTTCTTTTATTTCTCCTCCTTTACTAGCGTAAATGCAGAAAAGAGAAAAGAGAAAAGAAAACGGGACCAGCTGACGAGGTAGAAGCCCAAAAAGAAAAGAGAACGAGAAATAAGCAAAAGCAAAAGATGATACACCCCCAAAAATAAATGAAAGATTGTTGGAAAGGAAAGATACGCGGGAAGGTCAGTGAACCCTCCGCCGGTCCAAATGGCATCCAAGCATGAAGGAGAGACGGGGGAAATGTGCAGCAAGCAACGGGCCACTCGGCATGGCTCGATTCAAAAGAGCAGTACTAAGTATGGAGTAAATGGGGAAGAAAGAAGATGGTAAGTAGATACACTATCGAAAAGAGGGAGGGGGGCGAGACTAAAAAAGTAAACTAAAAAATGAACGACGGCAGAGACGCAGCCGGATGGATGGGGGAAGATTGAATAATAGAAAAACAAAAGAAAAAAAAAAGATGGATAAAAAGAAGGAGGGCGAGGAGGGAGGAGGGACTGTGCTGTTGTGCAATACAGAAATAGTATAGCGACAGTCGTAAAGATGTAGAGAAATAGCTGGAGATTTGGTCCAGAGAGAGGAGAGAGGAGGGGGGGGAGAGAAGAGGCTAGACTGGGATTTGGGGGGGGGATGCGCTAAACAGTCAAATAAAAGGAGGATAATAATGAAAATGATAATAGATGATGATAATGGCGATGACAATGGACTACTACACCCGAGACAGAATCAGAATGATGGATTATCATCATCCACCACCACCTTTACTCCATCCAGTTCGACTTACAAGTCAGGGGAACCCGGAATAGAATCCAAAAAAAGCTCTGTTTTTTCCCACGCTTGGACCCGTAGGAGCTCCGGGCTTCCCTGGCCATTAAATAAGTGTCCATAAATCTCAGCTCAAATCCTAAAAACCTAAGTCTAATTCCAACACAACCCGACGGCAGGCGCAAGTTTTGTTGTCCGCGTCCAATTGCATGACTAGCGACATCCAGAGTCAAACTAAGATCCCTTAGCACCGTCCAGCTGCCACTGCGCGCATGCATCTGTCCAGCGGCCTGTCCGCAACATTCTCGCTGCGTTTCAGGCCCAGAATGGGTCTCGATGCATGACTATCTATCCATTTGCTTTCTTATTCAATAGTTGCCTCGCATCGTTCGGACCGTTGGGCGGGTCCTCGGGTCGAGATGCGATTTCAGATCTGTAGTACTTTATAGTAGGAGTAAATCGGCGAATGGCAGATGCACCCGCAACGCCTGCCACCTGCCACATTCTGCTGCCACGGATTTCAGGCACCGGCAGCATTTGCCTCCGAAATGGTTTGCGTTACTTTCGGCCCCGATTGCTGTTGCTGCTGCTGCTGCTGCTGCACACGGCTGCTGTTCCCACGGTGATGAGAAATGATCCCATCCTTCTTATCTTCCTGGTTCGTTTGGACCCTATTTTGCTCCTCCAGCACTTCATCGATACTTTTGCCAGATGCCCTGGCTTCCTTGCGTACTGCGCGGTACCGAATCCGCCAGATGATATGGCTTGCATAGATTCCTGCCTCGAGGACGACCCTATTGATGTCACTCACCCGGGTCAGCCAGTCCACAACTTTGAACGTCGCTGAAAGCTCGTCAATGCGTCCCACTTACACGAGTATGTACATGATGCCTCCAAGTATATCGAATGATCCCTGGGCAGCTACAAATTATCGTCAGACCTCACATGATAATAAGAAGATCCCATGCCCGTGCAAGCGAACCTAGAGCGAATAGCGAGAAAAGTCCTCCCAGGGTATCAATGGACAAGAACACCCAGTCTACGGACCATCAGTAATGCATCAATCCCGATAAGACATAACTGAAAACTCACTGAACCCAATTACACGGCCGTCTCTCTTCCACAACTCATAATACGGCGGCAAAAGCCCAGATGCTAGTAGAATTGCCGCAACAACACCAACCACCAGGTCCGGCCAGGTCACACCCTTATTATATGGTATCTGAACACCGAGAAAATTAGCCACAATGCGAACCACAGGAAGTAAAGGAACAAACCCTCAAAGTAAGAATCAACAACGTCTCAATCCCACCGAACAGCACCGCCGTAGCCACAACTAATGACGTTGTCTTGAGACATGTATAATTACTATCATCACGCACAAGAGCCATTAACATCACCCCCGTTAAAACCCCCTCCTATCGACAATAGCAACAACTAGAAATACATACTGATTATAGTATAATATCTGCCCCCAGCTCACCAGCGAAAAGAAGCCAAAAATCTGCGGCTGAATCTGAAGCGGTAAATTGACTTCCTGCGAGCACCCTTATCAGATCCCTCAAATCTATTCCTTTGGATCACCAAGAAACGTGCTACTCACTTGCAAGATCATATAAGCTCCCATTGGTACGGCACCTGTTCGATAAAGCAACAACTCATTGCGTCAACCTTCCATCCCATACCATGCATGCTATTGCAATCACGAAAGTATAAGAAAGAACATGCAGTTCTCCGAAAACGCACAAGAAGCCCACAGAAGCATCATCAAAGGCGGAAACCCATCGGTTTTTTTCTGTCGCCAATTATACCAGATCTGGGGTATTAGCTGGATGCACCAGAGGACGGTGCCAATCGTGCCGAGGACATAGGAGGCGACTGTGATATTGCCGTCATCACTGTCGCTCCTAGCAGTAGTAGGAGCCATAACACGGGGGGTGGTTGGGGACTGCGCAACGCATAACAAATAAAGACTGATATCGGTGTATGGTATGTGCAATCACGGAAGTATGGCGACTTCTAGGATATTGATATATATATATATATATATACACAAAAAAAAAAAAAAAATTAAAGGCACGGGTGTCCTGCAGAATGGTTTATTTAAGAATCACCACCGTCGTTACCGCCTCTCTGCAGACTTATCAAGCAAAGCCCGAGCAAAATAAAGCATGGACAAGTGTCCGGTGCAGTTCCGCCGTCAGTGCTGGGCAAAGACGTCCGATGGGCCTGACGGCGGAGGGGATGGAAAAGGGGCACGTCATTGGACAAGGCGGGAGCAGATGGAGAAGCAAGAAGCACTGAAACTAGGACGAGACGGGTAAACCAGAGGAGAATTTGGGGAGAAAGTCTAGATGGGGACTGGGCTCGGGCGGAGTATCGGGAACGGGTGGATGAATCCCAAGGAACTCACACCATCTGGATGGGTCGCTCCACGATGCGGGAACTGCGAGAATGGGCTTGGATGCAGCGTCGGCCTTTCTGACTCCTCATGTTGGCCCGCGGGGTAATCGACCTTTCGACACACGTGGTCGCGGAATGGGATCCGTCAGAAGAAGTTTACTTGATTCTAATATATATCTCGCTACCATTCCAATGCAGTAGGACTCATACGACCTGTCTAATCTGACTCGTGCGACGTATCGTTCATTCCCAGGAACAGTCAAGAGGTGAGAAGATAGCATAGCATTTGAACACGGACTCATTTCCAATAGTAACACGAAAGAGATATAACCGTCAAGGATGAGATGCTTCTGGACATGATCAAAACAGATCCGGAGGCCATACATAACATATCAGCAATACAAATTCCCGCTTAAGGAGTCGGGGAACACACACAATTCAAGTATGCCAACACGCACTATAAACGAAGAAAAATGCCTCTAGTGAACGACAAAACAAACCAAGAGAATACGCAGGGCCATCAAAACATAACATGACTTCGCAAACCAGAATCACGCCGAGTGATACTACTCGAAGGGTATCAAAAACTGATTTTTCTCTCGCAACAAAACGGCGAGAACCATGACAGACCAAAAAAGACAGAAGGAAGGAAAGGACGTGACACCGTGGGTTGCTCTGCATCGATCACAGCAAGATCAGGTAGTTGGATGGAGCAATACCGGTCTCTCCGGTGGCCTTCCTGGCCTGCCACCATCTACCGCTCACATCGGACACCTCCAAGATCTCATGCTTGGTGAAACTGATCTCATTGGCATCTTCAGGGTTGGCCTCATACGAATAGATCGCCTTCGCACGGTACGGATATTCCGTGGGCTGGGGGACTTCATCTGGTGCGCCATTGTTGGGCAGATTCGTAGCGGACGGGTTGCCGAAGCGGGGCTGCGAGGAGCTGCGGTGTTCGGAGCCGGGGGCTCCTCCGGGATAACCCGACACGGGCGAAGAGGTCTCGAAGCCGTTGAGTTGAGCGGACGTGTACATCTGCGGGGGCTGGCTGGATGTCGTCTCGGGTCGATTGCCGAATGCAGTTGACATAGGTCTGCCATTTCCGTACGAGCCAGCACCTTCCTTCTGGAGGGCAAATGAATCGATGAAGCCGCGATGCGAAGCCTGAGGGCTAGATCCGAAGTAGAAAATCCAAATGATCTGCATTAATGGTAAGTCACATACTGCCTAGTGGGTATGTGTGTCGGAGCTGGTTATCACTTACAATAACCATAGCCAAAAGAATGAACCCAGCACCGGCAGCCTGCGATGCGGCGCTGTTTGCATAGACTAACGTGTTGATGGAGATTGTTGTGATAACAAGACCAGCGGAAAGATACCCCACGATCTGCCATAAATCAGTACGAAGGGTTGCCAAAAGATTGATTCAGGAGGGATGGCAACATACCGCTATGTTATAGACGGCACCAGTATCGGTGCCGAAGACAAGCGCCATGCCGACAATGCAGCAAAATGAGTAAGCAACAGCCCACCATGAATAGGTGGGATATCCGCCATGTACGCCAGTGACAATGGAGGAGATAAATGCGATCAACCAAGCCAACTAAACGAAGAAAAGGTGATTAGCCGTGGATCCTAACCACCGCACGAGAACGAATTGAAGACATACAATGGAGATGGACGTGGTTGCGAGCGCAAAGGGGTCGCCCAGAATATTGCTGGCTCTGAAGCGCGCCATTTTTCGTGGAGGCTCAGGGTAGGTATATGGCTTCTGGAAGGAGGGGGAACGCGAAGAGTAAGCCACCATGAATGTGGTTCGAACGAGATCGCGAAATGTTATATAGAAGCGTCCGCGATGGGAGGATGCTGTTCAGGACGCGATGCGACGATGACTTCCAAGGTCCCGGTGGAGTATACGGACGGTAGCAGAGAAGGCCCTTCTGTGCTTTTAATTCTCGAGTCGATGACGATTTATTGCCGGATGTGATCTGAGAATGGGAAACCCGTCGAGTGTGGCAATGAGCGTGAGATCCGGCCAAGGTAGAAGAAAGTGTCCGACTACAGAGCAATTAGCCAGGTGCTCAGGTCGGCGAACGTGTAAGATCAAGGAACATGCAAGTCGATCGACGGCGCACGGAGGACATCGTGAGGAACGACAACAACGCGACCCCAAGGAGCCTCATGCAGGGAATAGGACAGAAAGGTAAAGCGATGGGTGCGACCAAATTTCGAAATAAGATTTAGACTAACAGGAACAAGGATCGACGCATCACATACTTCTGAGACAGACAGGTTAAATGAATGTGGAATGGTTGAGGGCTGGCGAAAGGGGAGGTAGAGCAGCAGTGGCACCGATCGTCTCAAACCGGCGGAGCAATCGAAGGAGGGATCGAGGAACAAGTGCTCGGAGAGGTTGGCTAATTTGGTGTTCGGACAAGCCCACGGAATGCCCCTTGCAGAGACACGAAGAGAAACAGCAGCACCAGGCTGGAGAAGGACGAATAATGATGAAACGTTAGTGTCGAAAAGAGGCGGATGGAAAGAGTGAGGAAATGAATCAGAAGAAGCGGGAGATGGAGGAGAAAAAGAGGGGAAAGGAGGGAAAGAAACGAAAGGAGAGATGGAGTGATAGTAGAGAAGATGGGGGAAGGAGGGGGTGAACGAGTGAAATGAGTGGGAAAAGGAAGGAAAAAGTCGATGGGGTAGACAAGCCGACCGGATAGAGGAGGAGGAGGATGAGAGAAAGAGAGGAATGGGAACGGCTGGAGATGGAGAGAAAGGCGAAGCCCAGAACTGGAGCCGTGAGCGAGGCCTACTTAGTTCCAGGTTCGAGGCCGGGAAAAGGAGATGGATGGGTTGAATGGATGGATGGATGTGGATGGGAATGGGGACATTTGGGTGGAAGGGGAAAGGGAAAACAAATGGGATCGAGTTTCAGAGCGACGGTGCCTGGCCCGAGTGGCCCACGCGAACCACAGAAAGACACTGTCTTTTGGGGGCCCCCCCTGGGTTTAGTGCGTGGCCTGCGACGTATGGCAGTTTGGCATCTAACTATCTAGTACGATTATTCTGTCTACCTAGTCAGTACTCAGTACATAGATACTTAGCCTAACAGCTATCAAGCGGGAACTAGGGTGCTTTCTCTGCCGTTACTATTCTTATAGTAACTAATAATAATGGGGTGCGATGAATTCTCTCCGCGCCGGACGTTGTTCCAGAGAAGGAGGGAAGAACCGGGCTGTGAAGGATGACTATTGTCCTGTAGGTAACGTTAACTAACTAATTAATTCTTCTTACATACGGTCGCATTGTTACATTGGGTGAATACATTTAAATGAAAGGATACTTAAGCTCAGCTTTAGTACGTACGTCGTCCTCGTCCCTTTCAATTGAGATTTTGGAAAGCCTCCCACAGCCTAGACTTACAAGAACCATGATTATTTTAATTGCACATGTGCACGTCAAATAATATAATTTCAATTCAATATATCATCCCGGCAGAAAATAAGACCAAAAGAAAATTGAGTTGATTCCACGGGCCTCCCATTTCCCCTCTCACTACCATTTCGGTTACTAGTGTCAGTGTCTCTTGCTTTTCCCCCGGGAGAAAATAATGAGATCGATGCATTTTCCTATGAAAACTGGGTCCGGCCTAACCCGCTTTGAGGCGGCACGACACGCAAACTCCGGCTATGATTGTTGTTTGATTAGTCGATTTCCCGGAGGGCCTCGTCGCCCCTCTTCTAGTGCCGGCGGTGGATTCTCTTCGTCCATTCTGGCCCCTGGAAAGGCTGAGGCTGAGTTGTGGCTCTCGTGGCGGCGTCAATGGCCTGTGGGTTTTCCACCGCATTGAGCAAGTTGGTGTGGTCGCTGAGACCTGGGAAATTACTACGTAGATAGTGAGTAGTCCAAATACATAGCCGAGATCCATTGCTAGCACATGGCTCAATGAGGATAATTCCAACAGTCTTGTAGTAAGCAACCAACGGCTCCGTCTGGAAACCCTCTTCTAAGCCTTATATTGACTGCCACGATTCCATCCCCTCCTGATCATGTTGCTGCTGCTTACGCCCAGGTGATCCTGGGAATTGATGATAACAGTGCTCTTCCAATTCGGTAGTTATCAGTTGGGGTTTTTGGGATAACATGACTCGTATGGAACACAGGTTTAACTGCAACAATACTGGTTTAATTCAAGCATAGAATGCATTACTCACCACACAACTAGTTCTGTGGGAGTGGTGTCGTCACCACGAATGCAAAGGTCCCGGGTTTGATGGTTGTTCTATCATCATCCACCACAAATCGTCTCACACTGCAAGGCTTAGACCTGCAGATACCCCTATCGGTCTGTTGCTGACCAGCCAGCCCATCACAACCACCTAGTGTACACACAGTATCCATACAGTAAGCAGGTGAGACAACTGGCTGTGCCCGACACAGTAAGAATTACGAGTAGATAGATCCATGGTTCCGCCTATTATCAATATGGCAGTGATATTACCTCGTATCACACACACCTGATCACGAGTTCTTTTCCTTGTGCGCTCTCCCTTCTCTGTCCAAGCATTACTCAATATATATACATGGAGGTGTTTCAAGTAGGGCCAAACAAAGGATATTTCACACGGGCTCTCCTTCGCATCACAACCACAATCACAACGCATGTTCATGCTTCTCATGCAAGGGTCGACATCACGAGAAAAACAAAAGTACCCGGTCGGGACTCTTCCCCGTGGGTCTTCGTCTCCAATATGTACAATGTATGTACTCCGTAAGGTAAGGTGACTTGTGTCCTCGAAATGAGCAGGTACCTTTACTTTCAGCAGGTATTGTAAATACCCCACTAACTATGGAGTACACACGGATCACTGCGACCAGATAGGTATGCCCATTCTTCCCTTCGGGTTCCGGCGTGGTCGATCAGTTCTGCCGGGAGTCCAGATCCTCTCCGTGCGTCGGTATACTGCAACCCGGCTGCCGCTCTTTGTTTGATCCCGAAGGGAGCAAGACCAAAGGCCGGTCGGTCTGTTTCATATCCAGGCAAAAGAAAGAAAAGAAAGGACTGATGATTTTCAACGACCTTTCCGTCCACTAAGTAATCGTTGCCACACAAGACTATGTCTCTCAATGGATGAAGGGCCCATTCGTCTACATAGAAGAAAGATTACTTACTACACCCCATTCTCACCTGCAACGTCCACCTTTAATCATGACCAGAACAAACAAAGAGGTATCATATCATATCACAAGCCAAGCACGCTAAAAGGAAGAGGGATCCAAAAGAAAAAGCAACTGCCTCATCTTCACAGCTCCTTCGCTCGCCGCTCCCTCACCACTTCCTCCCGTTTGACCTCCCTTTCCACATCCTCAAGTCTTCCTTCCCATTCGGCCCAGCATTCACCGCCACTAACCAGCGCCACTTCATACCATCGCTGCAAGACTCGAGCAGACCGTACACGTAGCTCGGAGATTTGTTTGGCCTGGTCATCCTGAGTCTGCGCCAACTGGTCAAGTCGTGGTTGGAGCTGGATAAGCGACGCTGAAGTCTCGGCATTCGGGATGGGGAGGTCATTCAATGAAGTAAGTCGAGACGCGGTTTCGGGGAATGTGGAAGCGTAGGATAAGACAATCGAGGCGAGATTTTGCGTCGATAGACTTTCAGGGAGTGATTTGGAAGGTGTTTGGCGGAAGAGGTCGGGGAAGCGGTCGTCTGGACGAAAACAGTTTAGCTATTGATCAACCCGTACATTAAGAAGGTCATCATACGAAGACTGAGAACGTCCCTGACGGCGGGGATGTTTCTGCTCAGCTTTTCCAGGTCCCTCTCTAGGCGAAGAAGACGGCGCGAGACGCTGTCGTCCAGAGATGCGGGCTTTGCGGGCGGCGTGGGATTGCCAGTCCAGTTTGCATCGCCGGTCAAGAGGTATGTGAGGCGCCGGAGACGGGTCTCGAGGAGCTCAATGGTGGCACCAGCGACCGCGTCGTTTTCGAGGGTCATTGTGTAGGTTGCTGGAGGGGTTTCCCTGTTCGGACAATGTTGCTTGAACCACGGTTCTCGAATCGCGATGCTAAGGGGAGACGGCGGCGTCGGGATGGACAATGCAAACGTGACATACAACATTAACAAACGGCACGTGGGGAGCCATTATTTAGTCCCAAACAATGGTAAAACAGAACCCTGTTGATCCTAATCCGTCGCTCAGCCTTAAGTTGCTTCTCATTTGAAAAGAAATTCCAAGCGCTAAATTTTATTGTGCCAAGTTCTAGATTTAGATTGCGGGACGCCTAGGTATCTAGTCTAAATGACAGTAATTACGGATCAACTTGGGACTTCAGCCCTGGGTGTCATGTCGCCTTGTCGTCGACTTGGTCCCACATCGCGTCGGCATTCTGCGAAGGTTGCACAGGTCCAGCTGTGCTACTCCGGCTGAGCAGAGGGCGTCCACCTCTTTCCTCCATTTCCTGTCCCCGACCCAATCCCTCGTCAAATGATGGAACCTGGTAGTCAAACACATTCACATTTGGCGTCGTACGATCTTCCTGTTGGTTGAGCGGTTCCTGCTCATTCGTCAGCACATAATGTCTTGAGTTTCCACTATGTCTCTTGAGGACTGACAGAAGCACTCAATGCACGGTTCTGGCGGTCAGATTGGGTCCTAGTACTATCTGCTTCCTGACATTCGGCCTCAAATGCTTGATTGTCCATATGCACAAATTTCTAAAAGTACTGCCGTTAGTTCCAATCGCTCTTGCCACCATTTAGTAGGCGCCGCCTCACCTGAAGTTGACTAGGAGCTGTTTCTTCCGGCACATTAATTGCATTGTTATTGGCGTAGACAAGCAACACATTCTTTGATTCTTCGCGGGCCGCTCGAAGGACCTCAATTTCCCTGACCTTGCGTGCGGTGTACCCAATGACGTCGGAGTTGTGCAGAGCTGCGTCGCCTTCGGAGTTTGTCCCGGCCTGGCGATTCTTCGCATCGTCAGTCGAAAAGCTGATCCGCCACCATTGGTACTCATCCTCTGCTGAGGTGGCGCATCCATTTGTGGAGCCTTCAGACACACGGCGCTTTAGGACATAAGTCACATGTGGCTCAGTACACACGCCCCGCAGTGTGTACTTATGATGTGGTAATTCGCCGGAAGAAGATGCTTCAGTAAGGATTTTAGAATAGCCCCGTAGGCTTTCCATAGCATCCTGCTTCTTAGTCTCCAGCTCTATTTCAGGGACTAGTTAGCGTTCAGTGGCAATCATACGGGTCTCCGGGATAATACCTTTGAGCTTGGCTTCTATTTTACAGGATATCGCTTTCAGCTCATCAGTCACCCTCTGTGCCTCTGTATTGGCCGACTCTGGAGTAAAAGCATTCGTTTCATTGGACAAGCTCTTAGGGAGTGTCGAGGAGACGGCAGCAGCAGCCCTTTCCAGTGTCTCTCTAGAGGTCATTCCTTTGTGAACGGCTGATTTAGATGTTGAAAAGCGATTTATCAATCCCTCTAGTCTGAATATTTTCTCGTAGATCTGGAGCCTTTGCGCACGGAACTCCCGCGCGAGATCTCGGTTGGCTGCAAGATACCGATCAGGATAGAAAACTGCAGGGATCTTCACATCAACGGGTTTACTAGCGCCTTCCAGCTTGATTGTAAAGACCTCTGCGATGTGTTCTAGCCATACGTCGTCAAGATCTTCGCCCGGCCTATCAGACCACATGGTGTGATCGATAACATCATAAAGAGTCTGGCCATGTTCTTGCTCCACGAAGGCATCTAGGAGGAAGAACTCTTTATCCAATGGTGTGTCATAAATCGATAGAGGTCGCTTATATGCAGTTGACGAGAATATGGTCGCCAATTGATTGTCTGGGTCCGCCCGAACCGCAGCTTCTTGCCATGATTCCAAAAATCTAGCCGCGCTGCCTTCCGAGTCGTAACTGGACATGCTTTTCAGGTTAGCTAATGCATCGGCACTGCCAAAGGCGCGATCGGTGGTATCTAAAAATGCTGCCACTCGCTGCACTTCGTATATAATATCATCCCACTCAGTATCACCGTCCTGCGCGTCATCGATAGTGACAATCTTAGGAAGAGTTATGGATTGGCCGTTCCACCACTGTGAATCTTTTCCATAGTCCCCGAGAAGTCGATTCCTGAGCAGAAGAGCTTCTCTCGCCAGAGGGATCGAATGAAGGATTGTCAATAGTCCACCCAGGTACATGCCGTCATGGGATGGACGTATGAAAGCCGGTTCACCGCTCTTCCTCTTCCGATCAGCTGGGTCGGGGCTTATGATGATTTCACGAGAAGTAGAATTAAACAGCGTCATTGCCCAGGCACCTTCGTCATAATGATCACGAGTGGCTCGACCAAATTTCGCTTCATTCGTTGTGACACCTGTCTCTTGCTGCCCGAGATTCTGATTCAAAGACATAGCCATAGCCTGTTGTAGTTCCCGTTCCTCTTGCTCGGCCAAGGACAAGCCCTTGTTGGCGTCTGCTTAAAGCGGGGTTAGCCTAGCAGGAAATCAGGCAGCTCCTCAGTATGCCCTCACCATTAGCAGCCTGTGTTGGTACAGGGGCGCCATGCTGGTATTCAGCGCCAGATGCGTGTTCACTCGAGTTTAGGGTTGATGGCGGGCGTGAAGGAGCGGTGATGGAGGATCCGGGGGCCGGGTCGGCGTGTTCAATCTGGAACGCTTCATCAAGGCACATCTGTCAGTACCAAATCAAATACAAGTCATTATAACGAAAGGAGACGATCATACCAGGACCAGCGGGATCATTTTGGTATCCAATGTTCTATATCGTCACATGTTTGACAATCAGTCGCTGCTCCCAACAAACCGTGCGCAGTTTCAGGACGTCACCTGCGTCTGAGGGCCCGTGGGGTCTTCAAAGTAGGCATTAATGGCTTGGTTCGAGTTTAAGTTATTCGCCTGCAGTTCGATCCAGTCAGTTGGACTGCGATGATCCCAAAGTGCATCCAAGCTCACCTTAAGAAAGCTTATTGCTTGTTCGCGTGTCGAGCTGGTGAAGCTCACGAAGTTCGCAATAGCTTCCTCCGTTGGTTCGGAGGCCATGTCGGAGCCTCCGCGTCTCAATCCCACTGGCTATATCAGGACGCCCTTGTAATATCCAAATAAAGTAGAAGCGCCCAACAAAAAATCAAACAGACCAAGCGAGAGCGACAACAGCACCAGTCACAGCGCGAAAGCCAGACGTAGCTGATGGTGGACGATAGTTTGAATCGATCGGAAGAGCTTCCCCACCACATGACATGCGGCTGCCAAGCCCGAATAGCCAGACGCATTGCCTGCAGCAAACATGCGTCACGAATTCACTTAATGAATCCCACGCGAATACCACACAACATTTTATATTAAAGTGCTATAGTTCTTGTCTCAATCTTGAACAAATGCTAGAGACAGTGCATGAGTGCAGTTTATGGCGTTTTGACGGCGAATATTCTAGGGTTTCGCATAAGCCTAAGATTCTCGATTGCACTACAAATAGCGGACTGATTTGTGCAATTGTTCACGAGTCATTTCTTGATGATGCTCAATAATAGGCCTGTGACGTATCTAAATTTTCTGTGCATGTTCTAGTCAAGTAATTGCCTTGTGTTGAAGGGGCCATGTTCTCTGGCACATAGCATCCTAGGGAGGACGAACTTTCACTACGATTAGTGCATGTGTGCTTGGTATCTGCATGATGATAAATTGGCTACATTTGCTAGTAGTAGCTCAGAAAGACGACAATCATTTATCGCCTGCGTGAGACTTTCGACTAACCAGTAGTATATTGATTATTCTATCCTCAAGGGGGTAAAATCCATATGCGCAGTCTGAGGAATTCATTCAGGTCGATATAATATCGCCGACGGCATAGAAAACCCAAGAGAAAAACCATTACAAACGTCAAAAGGATGTTTATCTTGGTACATCAGTTACTAGTTGCTTCATCTTAGACCAATCCAATGTCCCGGACAAATCCAGACACGAGCCAACCATCAGCAGGACAGAGTGTCTGTGCTAACCTGCTAAAAGGATTAGTCGCAGCTACTTTCCATCTAGCCTAAATCCGCCCCGTTTTTCCCTCTCCATTCATCTGTCCCTTCCCCATTGTCAGCATTCTTCCTACCACCGTTGAAGCTAGAGTCCATTTTGTGCGGGATCATCTCCCCCTCTCCAATAATAATAGAGGTTACACACTAGCGAGGTATGTTCAATAGTCCGCTCTGCTATCTATCTACTGAGCTTCAAGAATAACGAGAGCAGCAGCATCGAGATCCCCATCACCTCGTAACCACGGTTACCCAACCCCCCCCCTCCCGCTCTCCTCACAACCTCTCCGCCCCTCCGTCCGCCCCGCTAGCTGGTGCGTTGGTTGATGGTTGTCGGTGTCGACCAGACCGATTCTTCTCCAAGCGCTCCACTTCCAGCCCTTCCAGCAAACCTGACCGGTTGTGGGGGAGACCCGATCCTCTATCCACAGCCCGCCCTTTTGATCATATTTTTATTGGGTTTGTCGAACCCAGGCTAGTGAGGTGTCGACCCAAATTCCACGAATCAGTCTAGAGCTACCATCAGGGCGAAAAAAAGGGGAGGGAGAGAAAAATAAGAGGGAGTTGAAAAAAAAGGCAATCTGCCCAAGCGCGGGACCACCCCTCCGGCCAAAATCCATCACGTCACGTTGTCCTCCCCGTCCTTGCCGAACCGACGTCGGCCGTCAACCTCCAGTCTCCGTCAGGATGGCCGCTGCTTTTGACGACGAGGACCTCTCTGTCTCACTCCCACCCCTCAACAATTCCGATCGCTCTCGTGACCGTACCGCCGGGACTGAGCCTCCTTCCAATTCCAACATTCCCGCCATGGCGATGCCTCCGCCATCCCGCCCGATCGGAAAGGGCGGCGAGCCTCCGATGCAGTCACCAGCAACCACCCGGGACATGCAGCGCCTCGACCAGTACCAGACGGTGAAGATATTGGGGGAGGGTTCCTTT